AATGCGGAAATTCATCTAAACCATATTAATATTTATTTTTTAGTTTACTGACTATATTCAGGATTTCTTTAGAAGAAGTCTCGGAAATAAACGTAGGGTTGAAAATATTTTGGGAAGGGAATGACGTTGAATTTTGTGGTTTTAGTTCCTTTGTGAGTTCAGCCGCAATTCTAGAAAAGTGTTGATTGAATTGAAATTTTATAAAAGTGATCACATGTTGAGGACATGTGAGGCATAAGATGGCAACACTTGGCCCGTCGGAGAAGTGGCAATCCTGGTAGATTTTGGCGCTTGTTTGGCGTTTGGGCGCGGCGAACCGCGGCGAACTGAACAGTCTGGACTCTGGAAGGAGTGTTCGCCAAATGTTTTGTTTTCATTAATTTTGATAGTGATTTTATACAACGTGGTCAATTTTGATAGCAGTGTCATCGTGCGCATATTGTACTGTGGAAACTTTGTATCGGTTTGCATGTCGTTCTCGAGGAAGTAATTGAATCCCGTGATTCCGAAATGGAAGAGCGAAACGCGTTAGTGTGCCAGGTAGTTGTGAATGTAAGTTTAATGAATATTTTATACTAAAAAAAAGGAGCAATTATAGATACTTTAGTTTATTTTTGCATCATTTACTCGACCAATTGTGAATACCAATGAGAGTGACAATTTGAAGAGGGGTTAAAAAGATGGTTAGGTAGTCCATAAATTAAAAACTTGAAATAAAAAGGGATGCAAGTGCCATTTCTGTTAAATTTACGTTTTTACCAGAATAATGATGAATGAATCAAGCCCTATAACAAATATAAATGATAGTCCAGATGCACTTCTTGGTAGTGTTCGGGGGTGATTATAAACAGCAGGATGCATGTGCCATTAGGTTTAAGGTGTATGTAAACTCATTTATCTCGAAAGTATGAAAATGGCACTTACATATTTTTTGTTTTAAGTCTTCAATTAATAATGCATAATGGAGTGTGCACGAAAGTGCATAAAAATGTAATTAAATTTCTTTGCTGTATTCTGTCACAGTTTTAGTTTTTTCTTTCATTTTCGGATATGATATCGTTCACCACACAGTCTTTCACTTCATGGTGATGTGAGGTTGCACAGATTTTGTGATGAAACCCGTGTATTTAACCCAATTATGTAATGCTAAAAATGGGGCGGGGGGCAAGAGATTTGAAGCAGCGTTACATTATGTAGGGGTAGGGGGATGTTTCGTTACGCTGATATTTTTGAATTCAAGATTTACAGAAAGAATACCTTTTATTCTCAATAATTTTATCTATAAATGGTTTCAATAAATGGAAAAAATTTCCCTCATTCATTTATTAATTGAGTCTGGTTTAAAAAGTATTCAAAACTGATCTCTGTTATAGGCTAGAATCCAATTAAATTAACACTGGAGATCCCCACCTGTGTGTCACAGCTTTTACCAGATTGTTAGAAATTTGTTTGTCTCTTTGCTTCCCTTAAAAATTTTCTCCACTCATTATTTGTGCAACCAGCTTTGCCAACTTTAATTATTATAAATTTTAATCAATAACACTATTAAAATTTACACAAATTGTTCAAATGAATGGTGGAATTGAGGGAAGCATTTTGTAATTATTTAGGGAGGATTCAAGCTTACAGGGGGATGGGTGTATTAAAAATAACAGATGTAGCACAAACTCCAAATTTGCGTTTCTTAAATTATGGATTCATTCTAACTACATTCTAGGTGTACAGTAATTTTGAAGGATCAATGATTTACCTACTTGGTGTGTGGCGATGGTGTAATGGTTAGCATATCGAACTGTTGTACCCAAGTTGGCGGGTTTAAACCCGATCGAAGACGTGGATTTTTAAGGGCGAAAAAATCCTTCCGAGGGAAAGTAAAGCCGGCTGTCCCATGTTGGTAGATTTACTTGCATGTAAATGATCTTGAAGCCTAAATGACGTCTCTGAGCTAAATTCAAATCGCCTGTTTCGTCACCCAAGAAATACCTTCTTTCTCTGCTAGTTGGTGAAAGGAGCGTAGCGAAATTTGCGTGGTCAGACGGAAGAGCAGGCAAAATGGAAATCTACTATAATAACCCTAGAAGTACTATTAAGTCATTTGTTTTGTTAAAAGTCATAAAATTGTAACAATAATAAATGGCCTGAGTCTCACCACATAAAATAAGGCATTAATTCAATTCATCTTATCAGTCAAATGTAGGTCCAATATTGAAAAGCATCAGGACGGTGTTGCCAGATCAGTGCTAATATTTTGAATAGACACAGATGGAATAAACATTTTATGGAACTCAATACTAATTAATTTTATGGTTTTGTTGTCAGATTCATTATTGATTCAATTGGTAATCATCCATCACTATGTGGTCTGTATTTTGCAGATGTTTAATCATGTCAGTAGACATCGGAAGATCAGACAATCATTTTTACTAAAATAGGTTGGCAAAAAGCCATTTATTTTTACGCAAGTAGGCATGCAAAAAGGCATTTATTATGGCTAAAGTTAGAGGGGGGAAATGTATATAAACAATGAAAAATCACTGTATAAAAGGAATGATTACGGATTAATTAATAATTAAATGATTCAAATTTGTATTTCAACTCTAAAATTCACACCAGCACTTACATGGAAAAAAATAGTATTTTCTTTGTAATCTTGATTGCAAATGACCACTTGATTTCAGGCCTACAAATTTGTTTCACTTGTTAAGCTGTCTCTACAAAATAGTATTGTGGACTATGTTTTCAATTTTAAAATGGCATCAGTTGAAAAACATTTATAGGTTTTGTTCTTTGCACTTGTGTAATCAACAGCAATGAGAAGAGTCGATCTTTTATCATGAGCTTTGCTCTCAAAGGAAATCCTCAGAAGTAGGATGGGATTCTTTGAATGTGTCGGCGTGAATGAAAGAAATTAAAAATCATGACTGGTATTGTCGTCTCTCATTTATGTTCTTAACACTATCTGGCCCTGAAGCATCTGTTTGCAGAAAAAGATAAAATATTGCAGTTCTTTCGTGTTGTCCACGCTTGCAGGTTCAAGAATATTTCCAGCGTGATCAATATCAATGCCACCAGAAAAAAGCAAAATAATGAATAAATAGGCAAAAAACTAAAAATGGATATAAGGAGCTAAATGAGGCAAAATGGAAATCTACTAAAGTAACCCCAGAAGTACTATTAAGTCATTTGTATTGTTAAAAGTCATAAAATTGTAACAATAATAAATGGGCTTTTATCCAAACTTCTTTATTTTATTTATTTTTATTTTTTATTTTTTTCTTTCCAAAAATATTGTTTGTTGTGTAGAATATCTGGTGAGGATTTTGTGTTATAAAAGAGTGGGAAAATTCTTATTTTATGGCATGGTCGTTCTTCAAAACTTTGGCACTTCTTAATATCATACTTGGATGTGCAGACTCTTGCAATATGTCATGTCATGTTATATTTTACAAAGTGTTGAAATTGATTATTTTTTGGTAGAACCACCAAGTCTGTCTTACAGACTTCATGGGTAGTACTTTTAACATTCCACTCAAACACAACAAAAGGTGTCAGCATGATTTTTCAGCTGCGCTTTCTAAATATTTTTCAAACAGAAACTCAAGAAAATTGAATTAATTGTATATAAACAAAGAGAAGAAAACTATCAATTGGAATTCAACTTATAACCTACTAAAGAAAAATTATCAATGAATCCGATCACCAGAACTTCAAAAATGCTAATATATAGGAAGTATTTTTCTTCTTCGTTTGGCACTACAATCCGATGTGGATATTGGTCGGATTGAGTATTTTACTCCACTTCTCTCTATTTCTTGCTTGTTTCTTCCAGTTCCTAATATCCATAATTTTTAGGTCCTGAAGCACATTGTTTTCCCATCTGATTCTCAGCCTTCCTCTTTTTCGAGTTGTTGGAGGCTTCCAGTTTGTGATTAGTTTAGTACCTCTGTTAGCATTCATTGTTACACCCCATACAATGTTGTATGAAGGCTTCTAATTCATCATTTGTGTTTCTTCTCCAAATTTGTTTTATTACTTTGGTTTGGCCAAAAAAATTTCTGAGAATTTTCCTCTCGAATATTGCTATTTTTTGCGCTAGTTGTTTTTTAAAGTACTCAAGTCTTTCATCTGTATGTCACTACTGGTTTTATTATTGTATTTTATAATTGCATTCTTGACCTTCTGGATAGGAATTTGAAAGTGTAAATGTTCTTATACATGTAGTATGCCCTGCTTCCAGCTGCAATTCTTTTAATTTCTTCTATTTCATTGTGTATGTTTACAATTGTTCTTAGGTATGTAAATGCTGTAACATTTTCTATTTCAATGTTATCGTTGTTGCATCTATTTCCAGAACATGTCATGTATTTGGTTTTTAAAATTAACTACTAATCCAACATTCTCAGATTCTTGTTTAAGTTGCAGAAATGTGTCCTTAGGCAGAAAATCCTTCTTGCCAATATTAAAATATCATACGCACATACCTGCTTTAATCATGTTGAAATATAGCCTCTTATATAGAGTTTACTTATTACAGTATCTATCATAAAGCTGAACAATAGGGCAGATTGTGGGTCACCCTGTCTAATGCCTGTGTTCAGGAAAGTTTTCAGATAGGATAATTTTTACTTTTGCTGTTGTGTGTTAAAGTTTAATCAAATAAATTAATTTATTTGGCACAGAGAACTGCTTTAAGCTATCTCTTAGATTGGTTTCCTATTGATTCCTGTTTCTTAATCTACAAAATATTGTGTAATATTATATTCATAGCTTTTTTCATGTGTTTGTTTCACAGTATGTTTGTTGTGTATGGTGGATCTATCAGGTCTGAATCCCATTTGGAAACGTCCCATTCTTATGTTAACTAATTCCATTAATACATTATACAAACATGTTGTGAATATATTTTATGCTACATTTAACAATGTAATTCCACTATAGTTACCGCAGACTTTTGGATCTTCCTTTTTATGTATAGGGCGTATTATTCGCTTTGACCAATCTTTAGGTATGTTTTCTTCATTCCTAAGTTGAACAAAGTTGTAACTTGGGTTTCTTAAAATAGCGCCACCTGTTTTAATTAACTCAGCAGTGATATTATCAGGCGACTTACTGTTTTTAGTTTTAACCTAGTTTGTTAATTTCGTTGCAGGTTGGGGGATCCATGTTATTACCATCCTCATGTAAATCAATATTTTCATTTGCTATTCAAGGTCCAAAATTTAACAGTTCAGAAAATATGCAGCCCAGAATTTTAGTAATTCTTCCTTTTCAGTTATTAAATTTTCTGCAATGTATTAACAGGCTAACATTGGTTTATCTGGTTGCTTGATGTAGTTCTTTACATCTTTATAAAATTGTCGTCGCGAAAGGTTATTAGACAATTGTGTAGGTCTCTTCCATCCAGGTCGAGCAAGAATATTATGCCTAGCACACACGCTCTGTCGTGGGCAAAATCCCCTTAATGTAAAAACATGTTAAGTTTAGATTTAAGGTGTTGTTTTTTGTTCTTCATAGCAAATTCAGAAATTGAAAATTGTCTCAATGTGTTTTGCTGCGTTACGCATGATAGAACCTGATATCATGCGTGGTTCCACCCCTCCCCCTCTATGGAAAATATATCGAGAAAAGTAAAAAGAAATAATAGTGGTGAAGAATATATTTTTTTAAAACCTAAGTGTGATTTGTGATTTCTATACACTGGATGATTATATTACTCAAAATGCATATTTATTGGGACTAATTAAGTATTTTTTTTGCAGAGGGTATTTAAAGGACAGAACCAATGTTGGTGAAACACAAACCGTTGTTGTAAACCCCAAAAAATTTAACGAGATAGTAATATTTTGTCTTATTATTTGCATAAAGTTGCCTTGATATGGATAAAAATGTATTCTGGGAAGATTTTATTGGTCCATGGTTTCCGAGTTATTTTATGAAAGTTCTAGAAAAACCCTTAATATCTCAGAACTAGGTCAATGTGAGGTAGCTCCATTGTTCTACTGAGCACTTCAATTCTTTGTCTTTCTTCTTGGCTCTCTATACTAGACGTTTTTTCCAACCCTCAAATTTGGCATTGCTTTGGAACCCTTCTCTTATCAAGTATATTGATCTCTTGAAAAATAGTTTAGAGAAGAGCCACCTGCATTCCAGTTGATCTTACATGTCTCTCACATGATTCAAAATCTGTCTAACTTCGGTTGCTGATGCAAACTTGTGCCTACATGATCAAGACATTTAAGGTTCTGCATGGTCCCAATGGCTAAAATATACTACAAATTTTCCTGCAATCATATGATCTTTATTTGAGAAGTTATTTAATGAAATTAATGAAAGCCATGTTTGAGCTAGTAAAATTTAGGTATTTCCAACTAATAAAGCTGGATATAGCCGATCCGGTGGCCGAGATCGCTAAGGCAGTAGTGCCGTAGCGATCACGGACCGAAGGATCGCGGGTTCGAGTCCCGCCTCGGGCATGGTTGTGTATGTGTGATTGTCCCTTCACCTATCTCGTAACATCATCCTCCATCTCTCATTATCACCTTTCTGAATAACTTTCAGAATTGTAACTCGAGGATTTATCCTCACTTCAAAGTGATACCTTCGACAGTCGACCATGAACAGTAAAAAGTGAAGTGGAGCGACTCAAGTGGTTCAATGTGGCCAATCAAGTTAATAATAAAAGCTGGATATGTTTGGAACAGACTCCTGGAAACATCTGTCCCTGCGGTCACTGTATAATCATTTAAATGACAAAATGATGTATACCAAAAACAGCACTGAGACTTTGGATTTGATGTGAAATCTGTTACTGTAACTTTATACGAGCTACTTTCTTAAACCATTCTTTCAGTTTTAAATTGTGTATATGTTTACTGTATTTTTTCTTTTGTGTGATCTATTGTTGTAAACTATTATAAGCTACAAATATTGTCATTACTCTACACCTCGATCAGGATATTACCAGTAATATTACTTTTGCTTGTTATTTTCTTAATTAAATAAATAGAACATTATAAAGTATTAGCTTCACAATTTCTGATAATGAAATAGGTTAAAAGAAACAGGTTTCATTAGCTACCTAACCTTTTCAGTTTCTTCTCAGTTGTTTGGAAGTGATATGATGTGTACCTTGGAACTCTCTTACTATAAATAGCAACATTTATTTGGATAGTAATCTTTACTTTATGTCTTAGGATCAGTTGACGGATCCTCTTGCCATTGACCCTTTGAGTGATTGTACTACCCAATACTTGAATCTGGATACCAAAAATGAAGAGGAGGTTCAAAATTTAGTTTCATGTCAAAAGCAGGTAACTTATTATTTGAGAATGGAACAGGAATTTTGATGATTATTCACAGTATGAACTAAGAGGGAAGATTTTTCTTTTTCTTTTCATGCAATCTGTTGTAAACTATTATAAGCTACAAATATTGTCATTAATTTACACCTGAATCAGGATATTACCAGTTATATTTCTGTTGCCTTTAATATTCCTAAGTAGATAAATAGAATATTATAAAGTTTTAGCTTCATAATTTCTGATATGTAATGGATTAAAGAAAAGATGTCTCAAATATCTGCTAAGTATCTAGCCTTTTCAGTTTCTTCTGTTATTTGAAAGCTACATGGAAAATGTACCTCAGAACTCTATTATTATAAACAGCAACATTTATTTGGATAGTAATCTTTACTTTATGTCTTAGGATCAGTTGACGGATCCTCTTGCCATCGACCCTTTGAGTGATTTTACTACCCAATACTTGAATCTGGATACCAAAAATGAAGAGAACGTTCAAAATTTGGTATCATGTGTAAAACAGGTAACTTATTATTTGTGTATGATGCAGGAATTTTGATGACTATTCAGACTATGAAATATGAGGAAAGAGTTAAACTAAAGTTACCTTATCATTTATATGTTGTTTGTTGAGAAGACAGAAGATGAAATAGAGTCTGCCTTTCTTGTGAAAATAGTTCCTTCTGATGTATGCATTGAAGGAACTTCATCAAATTTTCAGGTATGAATATTTTTAATGAGTCATTATTTGTAAAAAACTTGGTGTTGATGTCTTTTGTGAATAATATCTTATTTGTTTAGGAAGAAGATCCTCTTTCAGATATTCTCAAAGTACCTTTGGTGCCAAAAATACAGTTGTTGGATAAGAAAGAACCATTAGATCAGGATTCTGAGGTAAGTCATGTAATTTTTGTGCATATATTTCAGATTTAGAACATACAATTTATTGGGAAGGCAAAAAAACTATTTCTATACTCACTCAAAAGTTTTCTTTTGTATGAGACTATTTTCACTTGCTTAAATGTAAAAGAATAACTGTTTGATAAATTAATTTTGAAATAAAAATGATTGCAATTTTTTTGTCTTTAGAAAGGCAAGAACTTGTCTACCTCTCCAGTAATAATGTTTTCAAAAGCCTTACCCCCTCAAAAGTCAATATCTGCTGAGCCTCAGGTATTGTTGCTTTTAATGAATGCAAGAATATTCAAATATGTGATAATGCTGTTATTGGTGAGGACAATATTTTATCTAGGAAGAAGATCCTCTAGCTGATATTCCAGGGGTACCGAGATCAAAAATACCTGCAACAAATAAGGAAAATATGCTGGTAAACATTAATTTTCCTGATGAACCAATAGAACCAACAATGCCAGTTTTGGTTCAGGAAGAAGAATCATCATTGCAGAGATCAGAGGTGGGTTATGTGGAGTGTTCACTCACTTAGTCTTCAGTTGGACTAACAATTAAGACTGGAATTAATATATAAGCTTCAGGGGATTATAATCAAAGAATGTGCAAGATGTCTTACAAACAGGTTCTACATTAATTACTGCATTCTTCAAGTTAAAGAAAGTGTTGAAAAATGTAAAATTTATGCTATT